AACATAAAATATCTAAAACAAATAAATTGTTATTCATCTTTTGCACAAAAGCAACTATTAACAGGTGCAAGCGTATGCAGAGTTTCTATTTAGGCTATAACACGTGTTTGCAGCATTGAACAATGCAGTGCTGAAGTTTGCATGCTCACGAATCCTCTCATTATAACACACGAATTGTAGACATAATGAAAGATTCATTATGCATATATTTATTGTGTTATAACATAGATTTGTGAGATTGCGATGAACTGAGATGTCTTTTAGAGATTATAAATGCAGCGCTCTTTGCTGGCATTCTGCCATGCCAAACCATGCACACAGCTTGCTTTAGTTAAAAATAACAGTGTTCTGTGAATGTTGATGCTTTTATAACAAATATGTATCGGGAGCATGTACTCATATTTCACTACTGGTCATATATTCTCTATAGAACCATGTATGTCACAAATAAAAATCTTGAATCTATGCTGGGATTTCATAAATTTCATGGAGAAAAAAAGTTACGTAACTAGTAATGTAACTAATTACTTTTGAAATAAAGTAATCAGAACAGTAACGTGATTACTTTTAAATGGAGTAATCAGTAATTTGATTACATTTTCAGAGTAACTTGCCCAACACTGCTCATAAACTATTCTCATCCCAGGGATGGGGGATGGGGAAGATTTCTCTTGGTTTGGGCTATATTCTGAGCTCAGAGCCCTCCTTCAAGACACCATGCCAAATATGCTTACTATTTGCTAAATCCTTTTGTATGTAAGTACGAACTCGTGAAACTCATTCCAACTCCAACAGGGAGAGAAAGATTGCAGAAAGACTAAAAACTGTTATTGGTTATAGTAGCGGTTATGGTAGCTATTAAAAAGAGTTGCTCACATTTTCTAACTACATTTATCTTTTGATAAACATTAACTATAGTGCTTTATAAAATACCACTACTGGCTAGATTCCCAAGAGGTCAACTAAACCATCTGACAAAATCATTTAGATTTAGAAATGCATGATGATGTGAACTAAAAGTTTAATGACATTTGTAACCATATCAATTTACATTAAATAACTATCTGTTAATCATTAGGTAAAGTTTGATAAGTACATTAGTAAACATTAACAAGCACATTATTTCATTTTTCTAGGTATGTGAATATATATTAACTAATGATCTGTTAAGCATTGTACGATGTTTATTGATTTAATAATGAAAGCTTTTATAAAGTTATACCTGATTTTTGCATCACACTTTCTATGAAAGTTTGTTAGTTTGTTGTTTATCTTATTTAACCCTTGGATCAGAAATAATTATTGTACCTTAATTTTTACCTGGCTGCCAGTTATTTTCTTCTCCGCTTCAAAATATTTTGTATTATCTTTCAGGTTTTTGGCAGAGTTTCATGAGGACTTCTTTCCAGAGTCTGCATATGTGTCTGCAACTGAAGCCCATTACAGCATGAAGCAACCACGCTCAGTCTTCTAAGAATCCTTTACAGAGAGAGTTTATATTGTGCTGTGCTCTTCTGAACTTCTGGTCCTCCCCTGACACTGAATGTTGAGCCTATGTTCTTTCTACTTGCAAATTCTATAAATTTCCCTGAGGTATTTCACCTGTCCGTTTCTAACTGTTCATTTGCAATGTATGATAAAATTTTCATGACAATCTTTTTTTGTTATTGTTTATAGTTTTATTTGAAAGCATTTTAAATTCAGTTGTGCAAAATTATAATTTTCTTATTTTCTAGTTTTTCTGTCATATGAATCCACCATTACCTCAAACTTCCTTATTTTGCTTGTCCTTTCCCTCTCATTCCTCTGCACGAACTTAAACAAGCAGTTGCGCAAAAGCAAGAGGTTATTGCACATTTGCCACATAATTGTTGTAGTAACATTGTATTAATAATGCATTTTTTTTAATTATGAGCTCCACTGATAATTGCTTTGTGATTCTTTCACTCACAAAATATATTTCTTTTTTTGTATATTACTGTATATAAAGTTTTCAGTGGTAAAATGTTTCATCTCTTTTCTTTCTGTGAAAATAGGACAGGGCTGGGTTTTAACAATATTAGTGCCCCCCCCCCCCCCATTATTTATAATAATTAAGTTCATTATTCCTGTGTGTTCCTGTTTCTGTGTATTCTATGGTGTCTTGTAGTTTATCTATTAAAGCCATAATCACTTATGGTGCTGATTAATTTCTCAATACATTATTCAAACTTTTGTTTCCAGTGCTTAAAGGACTTTGAAACTTGTGATTGGTATGAGGAAAATACTTTTGTTGCAGCCTTTCACTGGCATTAATTTCACATATTAAAAAAAACTTTAAAAATAGGTAAACACTTCTGTGTAAACATGTGCAAAACTATTTGAAGATGTTATTGTTTTTATGACTGAATTTGTATTTAAAAAGTCTAAATTATCACGCTCATAGCTTTTTCAACATCTGTGATGACAGACAAGGTTGTGTCCCATTTTTTATTTAAAGTATTATTTGCGACCTTGTTACTGTCAAAACATTATTCATTATCATGCTTCATTTGTACATTTACCTATACCAGTAACTTTAAAGTTAACAGATAATGTACTTAATGGCTTTGTTTGCTGTTTTAATTATGAAATTCACCACTCTGGCAAGTCAAGTTAGCTCATTAAAGCACATCAGCATTATTGTAGATTTGAGTAAAAGTTATCAAGTTATTTTAATGGGATTTATTTCTTTCTGGGAGGTTTGGCGATTTAGTTACCTTAAATCCACACTTTAAATCAATCCGAAGTGAATATGTAGGTATTTTATTTTCATTTTAAAATAATAATTGCAGGTGAAATGAAGCTAACATTATACTTGTGTAAGTAAACTTTTGGTTCTGGTATATTAGTTTGAGCTATTTTTTATTTACATTTTGGCAAACTGATGCTATTTGAAGTATGTTTATAAAGCTAGTAGCAGTTCCACTTTGCAATTAAGCCATGTACAGACAAGATTACTGGATGACAAAACTTAAATGAGATAAGGAATTTTTTCCATTTTAAATCTGCAATATCATCCTCAAGTTATGACTCTGAGAATGTGGACAACTTTGACTAAAATTAACCTCCCTCATTATATCCTTGCCGGTCCCACTTTATATTAAGTGGCCCTAATACCCGTGTACTTATATAGTAACTAGATGTGTACATAGTATGTAACCACAGTGTTAGTACAAATTGGTACATAGTATCTACAGCTGTAATGTTTGTTTAGCTCATTTGTAACAACCCACTGAATGGTATGTGTAAATACAAATGTGTAACAGGACATTGGTAACAACACTTTTTGGTAATGAAAGTACAAATGTGTAACCGGACTAACATCACTTTTTGGTAAAGAAAGTGTTACACTTTATATTAAAACCACTTAAGCTCAGGGCGTTTTTTTTTTTGGTATTTTCGCCTAAATTTGACACACTCAAATTCAAATGTTTACCCTACACACATACAATGGAGGAAATGAAAAAAATGGTTTCATTGTAAAGAAAACCCTTTGAACTACAAAATATGAGTGTAATTCTTTATAAATAACATTATATATTTTTCAAATATTACAATAAACACAAAAAAAACATAGGAGCTTTTGGAGTTTTAAAACAAATAATTTTTTTGAAATTCTGTAATTCAGGTTCTATTAGGTCCAGCTCTCTGCAATTTACTTTGTTTGATGCCACTAGATGCCAAAAAGTACCAGAAAAAAATAATCTTTCAAATAACAGCTTCTAAACAGGAGTTATTACATTATATGTGAAGCGAGTCAAATTGTCTATTTCTGCATCTAAATGTGTCATTGTGAGTTTCCTTTGCAAAAACAGGCTTTATAAAACACATTAACCCCACAATCCTATTTTACTCTGTGCCATAAGCACTTTAATTGATTATTAATTGAATTATGTTTCATTTTTATGTTTTTCTTAGTAATATACAAAATGGCACAAGCAAATTGGACCAAATTTCCCATATTGTGTATTCTACAATGTTTTTACAATTGTACAATTTCAGGATGCAGAAGACTGTCTACATTATAAAATATATCTGGTTTATCACAATCTAAAATAGAATCCATATCCTCCAGCTTTATATCGTTCCATTTATATGCATTCTGTATTGGGATACTGATTCACAGCATCCTCTCACCTCATCAGCTCACTCCTGTATCCAGAGCATCTCTCCATGACAACATTGCATCATCCCTGGTCCAGAGCAGAGCTAATTTGCTAGCCGGCAGCTATCCCTAACATTCAGAGTGTCAAACAAACACATATAAGTTCATCCACACAACACTGTAATAATCCATGTATATTTACTGTATATTCACTGAAATGCATGTACTGTACGTTTCTGTCAATAAACAGTGTATCAGATTGCTAGCTGTGCTATCACGTTTCAAAACGATGTTTCAAATATCAAAAACATGCAAACATGCTCATAAAGCCTTACCAGACACGCGTTCATTCCTCTCCACGGCACCGCTGAACATTCTTCACCATATATAACTTGTAATATGATTATCATAGATTGATATTATCCGAGCCGCATGTGCAGTAACCTTTCCGTGAGGGAAACGCGCCTTCAAAACATTCCAAAAACTACAGAGTCCAAAACCCCCAGCGGTAAATTCCCGGATGTGAAGACCCCCCTCTAGTGACGCAGAGGTGTCAAATTTCACGGCTCTGAAATTGCCGCCGAGTTGAGAGACATGTAATGTTTGCGAACACTCTATAACATCAGACGCGCTGGCTGAGAGCGCTTTTGATACGGAGAGTGCCTGTTTGCGTCTATTGCACAATCTGGACAAAATGCTATATATCTCACCGATGGAAGCACGCAGAAACGTGAAAATGGTCTTGTTTGAAAGAAGAGATCCTAATCTAAAAGATAATATAGAGTATATAGATATTTGTGGCTGTTTGCGGCTGACTGAAGCAGTGCTACGAGTACAAATGGAAATTCGCTCAGAGGTGACAAAATTTTACATTGTGATTCTATTGAATATCATTCGATCTGTGATTGTCACACAATGAAATAATCTACATTGTCAAATTCCTGAGAATGAGAGCTTTCTTGTGATATATGACGACTTTTTTGTGAAAAATATATAAAATACACATTCTTCGTAAAATTTGCAAAATTATTCGCAATGGTTAGGCGGAAATTCGTGTGTGGGACGAATACTTTTCTAAGCTTACTTTTACTGCTTTATGAATATAAAAACCAAAAGGAATAGTATTTTCTGTAAAGAAGACACTCCAAGCTTTCAAATGAACCCATATATGGGCTGATACCATATACGGAAGGCTACGTAAATGAAGCATAAACATTTTTAACGCAATTTTGGACCCGTATCCGGGTCCGCAGAGTTTAACTGGTTTTAAGTAAACGATTCCAATGGATTTACCATGCAGATTGATAGATAGAGATAGAAATAGTCAGATAGATAGATAGATAGTCAAATGATAGATAGATAGATAGATAGATAGATAGATAGATAGATAGATAGATAGATAGATAGATAGATAGATAGATAGATAGATAGATAGAGAAAAATTAGATACATGAGTTTGAATGGGTTAGAAATAGTACATAGAAGGCAAGTCTGATTTAGTCTAATGGGCCTCAGTGTGTTCAGATTTGAATTTTGACAGTTGGAGTTTGACAATGTTCAGATGAGCCTAGACTTTTCAATGTAAGTCTATGGGATTTTTAATCTTCATTTTTATGAAAACCATAAGTCCAATCAGTAAGAAAAGATAAAGCAACTAACTTCAGATCAGTCTGAAGATATGGGCTAAGTTTGGAGTCTGTAGAGTTAAAGCTCTAGGAGGAGTTAGAGTTGATCATTTTAGTCTCAGTAAAAGAATAATAACTAGATAAAAAAGTTTGTCAAGACAAACTTTAAGTTGACTTGAAAAAGCCTAGCCAGAAAGTTTGAAGTCTTTTTAAAAGCTTAAAGTTTGAGGGTTTTAAGTTTGAACTAATTTGAAGTAGTTTTAAAGTTTTGAAGGCAATACAATCTATCAGAAAAAAATAGATACATAAATAGAGATAAATAGATAAGAAATAGTAAACTAGCATGTTGCTAGCATGACTAGCAAGTGACTAGTGTCACCAGCATGATTATTGTCGCTAGTGTTGGATTACAAATTTAAAAATCTGTTTAAAATATGCTGATCCTATGTTCTGACATAGCATCACATGAAAAACTAAGGTGATGTAATGACTGTATCATTTATTTATTCATTATTAATTTGTAATTATAGGGAATTAATGATTATTACCACCTTCAGGTTTTGCTAGGACTTCGGATCTGAATGTCCCAAGTCCACCTGATCAAACCATTGGTAGATTTGTTAGTCTGCACTTCAAATCAAGGGGTCGTCCAGCGAGCCGGTGATTCTTAGTATCTTTTAACAAATTTAATATGTGTTTTCCTGGCCACGGTCAACACACACAATGACTATGATTATTTGTAAGCTCTTAACAGAAGTAATTATTATAAGTAAGCTACAAGCTAAGTAGCAAGCAAGGATCTTTTTGGCATAGGTTTAATCTTGAAATTATATGAGCCAAGACATTTCTTCTTTATAAATGAAACATGAATTTTATTGGCTAATCTAGATTACATAAAACCCTAACTAAAACATACACATACACACAAAGATTCAAGGAAATGAGTTGACGGAGTTGCATTAAGTTTCGCGAGTGGTTTTAAATTCAGCCTAGGAGAACACCAAGCAGCGATTGTCTTATCTTTACTGTTTAACTTAGCTCTACACCAGTTCAGCAGATCTGAAGAGTTTGTTCGTTTACTTGCGTTCTGTTTAGTTGAGAGCTGAACGCTGAGGCAGTTCCTTCGCTGACGCGGGCTTCCTGGATGTCTGTTGAGGGAAATTCCTTCGCTGATTGGCTGTTGCTTTGACGTCGGAATGACGTTTGAATGACGTTCTTTTGGGGAAGCCCTCTTGGAGTGGTTGGTTGCCGGTTTACGGAAGAGGCTTCAGCAGTCCTGCTAAAAGCCTGAGTTTGCAAGACTTTGAAGATCTCTGAAGATCGCGAAGTCTCACTGAAGTGTCTGAGTTCTTAGATGGTCTTGCTACTGCGGTGGTATGGCGTGGGGCGCTTTGTCGCGCTCACCAAGGTGAAAGCCAACGTTCTTTTGAGTGAGAGTACGAGCCCGAGCGTAAGACCGCACCAGAGGGCTTTGTGTCCATTTTAAGCAGGCTGACTTTTGACCAGCCCACAGGTCGCTGTCCAATCAGATGGTGGCATGGTTGCCATCGATCGCATGCTGTTTGTGGAGAGCATTTCTGCAAGTTTTAACTATCTTCTGATAACAGTATTATCACCAGAGAATGATACAAAATATAAACTTTTCATTAACACCAATGTTCGGCGAATAAGACAAGCTCTCATTCAAGCTTAAACAACAGGTATTTTGCATACACAGTAATCGTAATCACTAAAAGAAAAGTTATAAGGCCAAGATTGAGGTACCATGGTTTCGATAAACACATCACACATATTTAAGACATAAAACATTATTTGTGAATATAGTTGCTCCAATACTTTCAATGATTTTTAATGATTGTCTGTGTACACTCTGTTTCTTTGTCTGTGACAAAAGAAAGTAAGGGTTTCGGTCATGCAGGAAGCAGGTGGTTAAACATGGGATAGTCA